CCCCACCCCAATTTGGGTGTACAATGTCCAAGTTGCCCATCTCTGTCTACTCTGTGTGTGGAGGGGGTGGGAATGTTTCTTGCTGTAAAGATTTGTTCCCTCTTTTGGGTTACTGCATCCATAGGTATAGGACAAGTTCATCAAATTGTATCAGATCACTCTTTTTTTCCTCTTCTTTCTTCTCCTGGTTGAGCTCTGATCATCCAGTCATGGGGTGGGGGGGTCAACTTTACTTTGGGGGGTCAGGTATTTCCCTGTTGTATTTTGAGTGCCTTCCAACCTGAGGGGGCTTATCTTCCAGTGCTATACCAGACAGTATTCCACTGCTATTCATTTAGGTTTTCAGGGGTTAATCCCTCAGAAGTGGGCCACTTATTCATCTTCCTAATCTGTCTAACTCTGGAAGCCCCTTTGAAAACTGTCTACTGTGGCTAACCCTGCTCGTATTTGAAACACTAGTGGTATAGCGTCCAACGTCACAGCAACAAGCAATTCACTTTAGTATGACAAGCTGACGGTCACATGGCGAGTAGGATTTCATAGCTTATATAAATTTTTAATGAAAATTGACTCTTTAATCATTCCCAGAAATCCACTCTGCTTCCTGAATTCCTCCTTTATGCAAGTGGCCCTTCAGTCTTCTGGCCACTTAGGCTGGGGACTGTAATCACATTTTACTCTTACCCTTCAGCCGTTCTGTGCTGAGACTGGCAGTGTCTGATGCCATGATCTGTGTCCTCTCCTCTCTGTGACGTGGCCTCGGCATGTTTCAGGTACTCACACCCTCTTTTCTGAGCTTACTTAATACCCTCTCCCGGGTCTTTGCCCCTAAGCCCCTTTGTCTCTTTGTCCCTTTTACTTATTGCTGTCCCAAAGCAGATCTCCTTTCTGCTTCTTTGCCACCACACATCTATCAGTTTGTCATACTGTGCTGGCTTCTATGTTAGTGGGATGCTGGAAGCTATGCCTCTGGTATTTTAAATACCATCAAGGTCACCCATGGTGGACAGGTATCAGCTGAGCTTCTAGACTAAGAGAGCCTAGGAAGAAGGAATAGGTGGTCCACTTCTGAGGTATTAGCCCCTGAAAACCTTATAAATAGCAGCGGCACACTGTCAGATATAGAGCCGGAAGTTCAGCCTCTCAGGTAGGAAGGTGTTCAGAATACAACTGGGCTTCGAAGAGCTGCCTGCTTAAGAGTTGACCTTAGTGATGTGGATGGAGAAGAGCTTTTGGTACCTTTATTTGCTGTTAGGGCACAACTCAAAATAAGAAGAAACGGCTGCAAACATCCATTAATAATCAGAACGTGGAATGTACGAAGTATGTATGTAAGTGATCAAAAATGAAGTGGGACCCATCACCTCCTTATCCTAGGCATGGTCGTCAGGTGTTGCTGAGTCAGCTCTGACTCCTAGCAGCCTTCTGCATGACAGAATGAAGCATTATCTGGTCCTGGGCCATCCTCACAATTGTTGTTATGTTTGAGCCCATTGTTGCAGCCGCTGTGTCAGTCCATCTTGTTGGGGGCCTTCTTTTTTTTTCATCAAGCCTCAATTTACCAAGCATGATGTCCAGAATATGAGAAACAAAATCTCATCATCCTTGATTCTAAGGACTATTCTAGGTATATTTCTTCCAGCACAGATCTGTTTGTTCTTCTGACAGTCCATGGTGCTTGCAATGTTCTTTGCTAATACCATAATTCAAATGCATCGATTCTTCTACAGTTTTTCTTATTCATTTTCAACTTTCACATGCATATGAAGCAATTAAAAATACCCTGGCTTGGGTCAGTCGCACCTTAGTCTTCAAATTAACATCCTTGCTCTTTATCATTTCAAAGAGGTCTTTGGCAGCAGAGTTGCCTAGTGCAATATGTCGTTTAATTTCTTGGTTGCTGCTTCCAAGGGTGTTGATTGTAGACCCAAGCAAAATGAAGTCTTTGTCAGCTTGAATCTTTTCTTTGTTTTCTTTACATCAAGATGCAATTCCATGCTGAAGGTTGTACTCTTTAGTACTCATTAGTATTTCAAGTCCTCTTCACTTCCAGCTAGCAAGGTTGTATCATCTACACATCACAGGTTGTAATGAGTCTTCCTCCAATCCTGATGCCATATTCTTCTTTATATAATCCGCCTTTTTGGATTATTTACTCAGCATACAATTTGAATTGTTGCTGTTGTTAAGTGCTGTCGAGTCGGTTCCGACCTATAGCGATCCTATATAGGGTTTCTGAGGAGCGGCTAATAAGCTTAAACACAGCCTTGTGGTTCAAACTGACTTTGCAGTCCAGTGCATTAACCCACAACGCCATACCTATCTGGACTCCTACAGATTAAGTATGGTGAAAGGATACAACCCTGGAGCACACCTTTCCTGATTTTAAGCCATTCAACATCCCCTTGTTCTATTATGTCCCTTCCAGATGTGCATTTTATTCTTTATAACCTGTCCCAACCTACCTTTTATTCTGCCGTTGTTTGTGTAAGGACTTGTGCCATCTTTGTTATAAATTGGAAGTTCCTTAGGGACGTGTCGATGTCTGGCATACTTTTCTCCCAACAGAATCCAGCACACTGCTTTGTCACAGTGGACATCCTGAATATGCTTAGTAGATAACTACCATAGTGTGGGGAGAAGGGTTCAAACTGAAAGTTTGTTTTTTCTGCAAACCTAGTGTAATATAAACATCCTTGGTACCTTGTGTCTGCCATTGTCTGTGTGTTATATATTTGAAATAATTAGGGACATTTACTTAGGTTTTTGAATGCAGATTTGATTTCTAATGCAGATTTGTATATGAACATAAATAAATTCAGGGTTTTCATTTTTATTAAGTGTAAATTAGCTTTGGGAATCCTCTCACTAACTAGAAAGCATCACCTTACTTATCCAGCTTGTCAAATGATTTTTTTAGACTATGCCCTCTAACCCCCTTTCTTTATTAGGGGAAATAATTTTTTATTGCCCTCACCTTGATGGAAATGTTAATGTATCTATCATTTGCTGAATGTTTACAGCTCATTCGTGGTGGAAAGACAGCCTTGCATGCCAACTCATCCACAGAGGCCACTGGTCCTGAAGACTGGGGTCCAGTTCACCGTGAAGTTGAGGTAATAAATTGTAACATTTATACTTGGTTGCTTAGCTTGCATCCTTAAGTTCCTCTCACAAAATTGATGTGCTTTAGAGGAAATAACTCTGCAGTAGTCACTTTAATATGAATTGTTATTTGTATCAAAATAGAAAGCTTTCAGCTGTGCGTGTACACACACACACACACCCCGGAGTTTTCCTCTAATTGTAAAAGCAATGCGTGTCCACTGTAAAAGGCTTCAAATGGAAAAACTGTCTACATCAGAGAGTAAAGTTTCCCAGCAGCCTCATCCCCTCAAGCCTCTGACCTGAGCTGTATGAACCCCTCAAGTTACACGGAGTATGTGTGAATGTGAGTTTATGATGTGCCACTGTCCAGTGGGTTCGCACCTCGCATACGATTTTCAAAGTGGTCATAATAGAAACATCTACAGGCAGCCACAGTCAATAGTCTGTCCTTCTGGAATTTTGTTCATATCTTAACACACACACATGCAGTGAATTGTTGTTAGTGTTGCATTGGTTCCAACTCACAGCAATCTGTATAGGGTTTCCAAGGTTTTAAATCTTCGCTGGAGTAGAAAGCCTCCTATTTCTGCCGACAAGTGGATGGTGAGCTCGAACCACCAATCTTATGGTACCTAGCCCATTATTTATTCTACAGAGCTAACGTGGTCTGCATATTCAAGGAAGACACACACATAAAAGTTTGTTGTTATTGGGTGCCATCAAGTCATTACCGACTCATAACAATCTTATGCACAACAGAACAAAGCACTGCCCAGTCCTGGGCCAACCTCACAATTGTTGCTATGCTTGTGCCCATTACTGCTGACACTGTGCCGTTCCATCTCGTCAAGGGTCTTCCTCTTTTTCTCTGACTTTCCACTTTACCAAGCATAATGGTGTTCTCCAGGGACTGGTCCTTCCTGATAATACGTCTGAAGTATGAGAGAACTAACTCTGGCCATCCTGGCTTCTAAGGAGCTTTCTGGCTGTACTTCTTCCAACACAGATTTATTTGTTCTTTTGGCAGTCCATGGTACTTTAATATTCTCCTCCAATACCATAAAAATATATGGAAATAAAATGTTGTATTTTTCAAATGAGGGTTATTATACATATATATCCAGTATACATATTTACAGTCTACTTTTTTCTCCTTAAAAATAAATAAATAGACACTAGAAATGTTTCCATGTGAGAACATATGACCATCCTTGATTCTGTTGAATGGCTGCATTCATTTCCCAGGCTCTGTAGATGAACAGTTAGACTCTATGGAGCTGGACTGGCCTTCAGTGCTGTCCTGGTCCTTTTTATGTTGTGGTAAAGTGCCATCGAGTTGGTTCCGACCCATAACGACCCTGTATAGGGTGTCCAAGGAGCAGCTGGTGAGCGCTTGAAACGCCGACTTTGCAGTTCAAACAGCTTTGCGGTCTGGCGCATTAATCCACAGACCACCAGGACTCCTAAATATAGGTGCTGTTTATTTGGTCTTTGGGTGCTGCTTCTCTGGCCAGTGGTGTTATAGGTAGTACCAGACCGAGTGCCTGTGGAATTCCAGAACTCACAGCTGGGAGAGAGACTAGAAATCTCCGCCACTTCCTGCCCCAGCCGGGAGACCTGAGGGTTTCTTACCCAAAGGCTCTGGCTTGTAAGTAACAGGCACAAGTGATGGTCAGCCCAGCCCTGCAGCCCTCCTTTCTTCCATCCTATAGACCCTACATTGTAGAGGTAACTCTCATTTTTATCATTGTGGGTGAGGGGGGTTTGTTGTTGTTTTTCACACAATATATATTAGATACACACATTAAATAAAAACATTACTTTCTAAATAAAAAGGAACATTCAGTGTTTTTCACTCATCCAGTGGGTAAAATATAGAAATTTTAGTAAAACTCTATGTTAGCAAGGTTATTTAGGGAAACAGTACCCTCACTAGCTTTTGTAAAGTGCCATCATGTTGGTTCTGACTCGTAGCAATCCTGTATTGGAGCCACTGGTGAGTTTGAACCGCCAACCCTGGGGTTCAAACCGACCTTGCGGTCCAGTGCTTTATCCCACAGCATCATATCAGGACTCTAGCTTTTACTGGCTGGGATGTAGACGAATGCTGCATTCTGTCAGAATTAACTGTTCCAGTTTTGCTCTAGCAATTTCGTAGGTAGAAATTTATCCTACAAATATCCTTTAAAAACATGCCAAGATAGATGTACAAGGATAGATATTCAACATTGTTTGTTATAGCCGAAAATGAGGACAGGGAGAAGGGATATCTAAATGTCCATAGATAGGAAATTGGCATAATATATGCATTGTAATAGATAAATTGTAAATGTCATGACTTTTTTTTTTCTTTCAGGCTGCTCGTGAAATTACAGGAGCTGAATTATAATTTAAAAGTCAAAGTCTTGTTTGATAAGTAAGTGGTCTCTAATACTATTTGAATTATAAATACTGTAAAAATGTTGTTTGTGTTTACATTAACTCCTTCACTAAATGCACAAACTTGCCAGCTGATCAGCAAGTGTCCTACTTGGCTTTGCTGGGAGGAAATTTGCATCACTGGAGACCTGGGTGCTGCCCTCCAGCCCCCGCCCCCACCCCCCCACCCCCAGCCCACAGCCCCGATCCCAGCAGATTTAAATTGATCACTCCTTTTCTGAATATTGGGAGCTTCTCCTAGAGCTGTTAGCAATATGTATATGCCTCATAGACCTTCAGTGAACTAAAAAAGTGGGTTATCATATGCATATTTATGCATATTTATCTAGTCAGTTCCAAGTCGTAGTGACCACGAGTTTGCTCAAGTAGGTTTCCTAGTGGCTGACTTTTCGGAATTAGATCACCAGGCCTTGTTTTCTGAGGAGCCTCTGGGTGGACTTGAACCACCAAACTTTCAGTTAACAGTGGGATATTTGTGCAACCAAAGGACTCCATCCTTCTAGGCCAGTCTCTTTATCAAATACAAGGTCGAAGCTCCTTTAGGCTTCCTTGATTTGTGGAGTGAAGTTGGCTTTTTGGAAGGCTGTATGGAGCCTACTGTATGGGATCCTGTTGTGGTGCTATAGGATAAGCACTGGACTGCTAAGTGCAAGGTCAGCTGTACAAACCCACCTGCTGTTCCTTGGAAACGCTATTAAAAGGCCATTATGAAGTGGAACTGACTTGATGGCACTTACCAAAACACAGAGCCTGCTGTCATCACCATCATCTCCTCGGGGTTGTAGGAACCTATGAATGGACAAAATCTCTCACCTAGGCCCCATGGACCAGGCCCATTCCGTTTTGCCTTAGCCCCCTAGACCAGGACTAGCACTGACCTAGCCACTAGCATTGAGGGGACGTGATGTCACGTGTCCCTTGGATATATGTAATGCTTAGTTGGCTTGTGCTAACTAACCCATTTAGCCAGTTTAAAAACCATCTAAGATAATCCAGACCATTTTTCCCTGGCTTTTTGTCTCATCCTATTCCTGTTAGAATATTGTTCTGTGAAGCACAGTCTGGACTTCCGTCTGTCTCCCATACCATCTTTGATTTCTCTATGTATCAGTTTGCTTTTGCTGTATAACAAACCACTCTAAACCTTTGTTGTTGCTAAGAGCTGTCCAGTCAGTTCTGACTCGTAGTGAATCTGTATAGGGTTTCCAAGGAGTGACTGGCAAGTTTGAACCACTAACCTTGTGGTTAACAGTCCAGTGATTATCCTACAGCCCCACACCAAGATTCCCTGTAAAACACAGAAATTGATTATTGGTTGGTAAAATTCTTCAATTTCATCATTACTGGCTTTAGTTGTTAGTGTGCAGATTTGAATAATAGTGGTACTGACTGGTCTTCCTTGTAGGCGTATGGATATTATCCTGTCACAGACAGCATTGTACTTCAAGATAGACCTTGAATGTTCTTTTTGATGATAAACGCTATTCCGTTCTTTACAATTTGTCATTCCCAGCATAGTAAGCCATATGATTATCTGATTCAAAATGGCCCTTACCAGTCCATTTCAGCTCACTAATTGAAACCCTGTACAGGGTCGCTATGAGTTGGAACCACCTCAATAGCACTTAACAACAACAATGCCTAGGATACCTAGGATATGTTATGCATTCCTTTTCATTTTTGACAATTTCCAAGTTAATCCTAGATTCATGCTTTGTACATTTCATATTCCAATTATTAATGGATGTTTGCAGTTGTTTCTCTTCATTTTGACTTGTGCCCCCTAAACAAATAAAGGTCCCCAAAGCTTTGCTTCATCCATATCACTAAGATCAACTCTACCTTGAGGATCCAGTCAGATTTTGAGTGCCTTCCAAGCTGAGGATCCTGTCTTCTGGCAATGTTTTGTTCCTAATCAGTGTTTCCGTCTTCTGTCATTATGTCTGACCATGGTACACTGCTACAGTGTTACACTGCTATTCATTCGATTTTTAGTGACTAAACATTCCAAAGTAGTCTGCTCTCCTTTTTCCTAGTCTGTATTATTCTAGAAGCTCCACTAAAACCTGTCCACTAGGACAGGTGACCCTGCTGGTCTTCAAAATACCTGTGGCATAGCTTCCAGCATCACAGCAACACACAAGCCAGGACAGTGCGACAAACTGACAAGTTGCGCTGTGGTTGTTAAGTGCCACTGAGTAGGTTCCAACTCAGAATGACCCTGTATAAGGTTTCCATGGCTGTAAATCTTTGCTAGAGCAGAAAGTCTCATCTTTCTCCCATGGAGTGGCTAGAAGGCCTGAACCACTAACCAATGCTTATCCTACAAACCACTGCACTCCCATTCAGCTTGCTAGTTCCTCTAAATAATCAATTAGTCTGGTATGTCCTGAAAGCATTAAAGATGCTATAGAACAAAAATAAGAAAATAAAGCCCATCCCATTGGAAGGTCTTTTCAGTTCGGAAACAAATCTCTACTGAGTCCTGCATGTTTAACACAGTGCCAGGACAAAGTAATTGCCCAGTTAATAGCATTAAGTCCAGGTGTGGCACTGTAGGAGAAGCACTGGACTGCTAAGCACAAGGTCAACAGTCCAGACCCACCTGAACTCATAGGAAACCCTATGAGTCAGAACCAATTCAACAGCACTTAACAACAGCTGTGCTTACTGAGGGCTTGCTCTGTGCTCTCTGTACACACCAACCAATTTCCTCCTCACAGTGTCCTGTCAGGTAGCTGTGGTTCGCACAGTATAGAGATGAGAAATTAACAGTTGGGTTACTGATTTGCCAAGGTCCGCTTTACAGAACCTGGCGTAGCTGCTACTGGGTGATTAAGAGCATGAGGGAGTGAGTGAATGAAAAGGTAAGAAAACCCACAGTTTATTTTTTACATGTAGATACATTTTTTAATTTAAGTGTATTTCAAATTAAAAATATGTACATGTATGTATGTATTTATATACTTTTTTTTTTTTTTGCAGAGATGTGGTTGAGAAGAATACAGTAAAGGGGTAGGTGGCATGCTTTGTATATCTTTGTCTAATGCTTTGTTCAACAGCTCAATGCCTTTTAAGTATTTCTATCCTGTGTTGTATAGATTTAGAAAGTTCAACATTTTGGGCACACATACGAAAGTGATGAACATGGAAGAATCTACCAATGGAAGTCTGGCGGCAGAATTTCGACACCTGGTAGGAAGATTAGTTTTCCTCTCCTTTTATATTCCCTTTAGTTGATTAGGAAGGAGCCCTGATGGTGCTGTAGGATAAGCACTGGACTACTAACTGCAAGGTTGATGGTTCAAACCCACCAGCTTCTTCGAGGGAGAAAGATGAGACTTTCTGCTCCCATAAAGATTTGCCACTTTACACACTTCATACAGGGTTGCTCTGCACTAACGTCAACTCATTGGCAGTGGAATTTTGAGGGAGAAGGCTTTGTTGTTGAGGTCTTTTTACAACAACTGGGCACTTTTATGATGCTGGGGCACTTTGTATTGTGGATGGCGCCCCCTAGCAGAAGACTTTCCATTGTTTGTGGCTAGTAACTTCTTAACTACCACTTGTGGGGTTTCCATTCCTTCTTTCTATCCCGAAACTATTTCTTCTGCTGTCTCCCTCACTCTTTCCAGGAAACTCTGTTTTGGATGTGGCAATCTTAGTAAATATTTCATAAGCTGGCTGGCACATACATCATATGCAGTGATCACTCTAGACTGGCCTTCCTCAAAGGTCATTGTTCCTACGTCTCTGCCTGTTCTTTCTCTCACCCTCCAAGTGTGCTGCACCCCAGATTCTCTCCTCAGTCCCCTTCTTCACATTCTCCTTTGTGGTGGTCTTGTCCACACCATTGCCTGCACTGAAACCCCTGCAGTAGTAGGGGTTGGTAATTGGGAATGTAGGGTGTTTTAAGTAGGTGGTTGCCAACGTCTCCTGCCTCCCTGGAAACACAGACACTCCCACCCTCCTCAGGATATATTGGTACTGGGCCCAGTGCTCTCCCTGGGTTCTGAGACTGTGGGTTCAAGACACCCTTTGTCATTAGAGACTATCTTTTGAAAGGACAGCCCTCAAAGCTAAGACGTTAGCTGTGTAAGAACCTCGAATCAAACACAGGCGTTCTAAGGGAGTCCAGAGTTGCCCTTGGGTCTCAAGATTGAAATCTTTTTGAGGACAATCTTAGTTGGGCCAGGAGTTCCTTGGGCCTCACCTGGCTTGCTGTCCCTGAGCCTGGGCAGACATGAGGGGGATCATTCAGGGAAGAACTCTTTGTGGGAGGGAGCAGGATGCCATGCCCTGACTCCCCCCGAAACCTCCACCTACTCCCCAGCCCCCAGCCCTCTGTAGTAATTTTGTGATCTCAGACTGCTGGGGAAAGCTCTTTCTGCTCATGCACACAAACAAGGATTAGTCCATCTCTTGCCCTGCATTTTGAAAATTTCACATCCTCTGTTGACACCTCATCCTAGCTTTGGTCTGATTTATAAATGAAAACAGAAACTTTGGCAATTCACGTTCCATTTCCTAAGATGGTTACTTGTTTTACAGCAACTAAAAGAACAGAAAAATGCTGGCACCAGATCTAATGAGGTGAGTTTCTGTCTTGTGAAAGGGGCCGAACCTGGTTGTGTGTCCAGTGAGGGCGAGTTAGTACCCTGGTCAGTGGCTGAGGACACTCAGTTCAGAGCCAGCAGGAAAGAGCATCAAAAGCTCTGGGTCTTCTGTGTCTGTAATAATGGTAAAGGTCCTTCTGCCCATGTGCCTTATGGTCGCCACATAAACCCATCGGTGCCTGAGCTCAGTGGGGTAGGTATGAGGGCTGTGTATTCTATGTGTTCTTCAGGTAGGTGGGAGAAATGGAGTCATAAGAAGTGTCCAGGACTCTGCTAAGTACACACAGGGAATTACTACCAGGGCTGGACATAGAGACCAGTTTGCACTCAACTCATAAAGAATCCTGGTGTGGCGCTATAGGATAAGAGCTGGACTGTAACCACAAGGTCGGCAGTTCAAACCCCGAGTCACTCCTTGGAAACCCTTTACAGTCACTATGAGTCAGAACAGACTTGAAGGCACCTAACAACAACAACCTAAAGGTTAGTGGTTTGGACCCACCCAGTGGTACCACTTAATGAAAGGCCCAAGTAGATCAGCAAAACTTTCTTCCCAAGCATCTCTCAGACTTGAACCTCCAACTTTTCCATTAATTGAGCATACTAATCATTTATTTGTACTAAGGGAATCTGAGAAAGGTGATTAAAAACTGGGTGTTTTTGAACTGGAGCTGATTTTACAGCTTTCAGTGTTTATTAGGCTTTTGACAGTTGCCTTGCTAGTGAGTGACTTGTTTCATCCCTTTTTACACTCTTCTTTTTAAGGGCCCTCTCATTGTGACTGAAGAGCTCCACTCCCTTAGCTTTGAAACCCAGTTGTGCCAGCCGGGCTTGGTAATTGACCTTGAGGTAAGATTGACTTGCTCCAGAAGTAGAAAACTTTATATTCTTCACTTTTCACTGCTACAGCAATTTTATTTCTTAAATTTTGTTTAGTGATAGTTACCTAGTTGCTAAAAAAAAAAAAAAAAAAAAATTAAAAACATAATCTTTTACAGCCAATACTATCTGTGCATTAACTTAATGGCTTAGGAAGCTAGAGAATGGACTGACCCTTCCGATTCTAGATGCTAAATGTTTCCAGTGGGATATCCTGTTAATGTTTTATGTTAGGCATTGGCACTTAGTTTTAACTGAAAGGTATATCAAAGAGAAACTCAACAATGAACACAAGAGTGTAACTCTGCATTTTAATTTTCAGCTATGAAATACATGCTCATTTACAATCCCCTGACTATCTTTGAGACTAAGTGGGTCTGAAGGTCGTATGTCTGTGGTTCTGATGTTTTCAAAGTCTCTGTCTTCTTATAGACAATGTCTCTGCCTGTTGTGGTGATCTCCAATGTCAGCCAGCTCCCCAGCGGCTGGGCCTCCATCCTGTGGTACAACATGCTGGTGGCAGAACCACGGGTATGTCAAACACGTCTGCTTTTGTATCAAGTGTTAACAAGAGACCTCTGCTCTTGCTTCCCCAAGTCTGAAAGAGCCCCTCAAGGTCAGTGTGGAGGGATAAATGACATCATTGTTGTGCCACTGGCTCCTCTCTTGAGAATTCTGAAAAAGTTGCACCAAGTCAGTGTGTTATAGGTGAGAATTTTCATTTTCCTAAGGAGCGCGGCTTATGCAGTGGGTCAGCGCTGGGCTGCTAATCACAAAGCTAGTGGTTCAAACCCACCAGCCACTCCACAGGAGAAAGATGAAGCTGTATGCTTCCGCCAAGATTTACAGTCTGAAAACCCCTGTATAGTGTTGCTCTGAGTTGGAATCGACTCGATGGCAGTGGGTTTGGGCTTTATGATTAGGCTCAGAGAACAAAATATTTCATGTAACTTTTATTATGGAAGGGGCTTTTTATTGCCATTCTTCTTCTTTTTTTAATGAGTATATCGACCAAACAAGCATGTTCTATTCTTAGAATTTGAATAGTCAGCTAACAATCAATCTCTAAAAATGCCTCTCTTAATTCATGATTTCTCTTCCCCTACCGTGAGAACTTCTGTGGCATTTAAACTGGGATTGGACTTTGGGACAGCTCATGTGTTAGTGCTTGCTGTGACTGGCTTGTCAGTGGGCCCTAGCTGATGAATGTTTCCTCCTCAGAATCTGTCCTTCTTCTTGAACCCACCGTGTGCCCGATGGGCTCAGCTTTCAGAGGTGCTGAGTTGGCAGTTTTCTTCTGTCACCAAAAGAGGTCTCAACGGGGACCAGCTGGGCATGTTGGGAGAGAAGCTTCTTGGTATGGACATGTTATCCTTTTTTTTTTTTTT